AACCTTTTTTGGGAGTTCAGTAGACTACCTATTTTATTTAGAGTGTACCATCTCCTTATATTATACCAGATTTACCATTAAGAATTCAACAAATTATTGATAAAGGTGAAATAGGTGAATTCCGTAGTCATACAAATGCACGTCGACTTTTACTTGATACAATTTTTAATGATGTGACAACCGAATAATCGCTGTTGTAAGTAATAAAGCTTGTTTCTGCGATAAATATTAGTAGCTTTTTCTTTCATATTTAGGTATCCTACTAGAGATCATTACAGATTAATGGGCAAAGAAATACTAAAAAAATTAAACACTTCTAAAGATAATGAAGCATTGGTAAATAAGTTAATCTTTAAAATTATCAACATTAACATTTTTTGCTTTAAAAAGCAAATAGTAAAATATATGACTTGACTCATATTGAAGTATCATTAGATCCTAAATATACTTCAATAAATTTCATAGTATTATATATACGTTACGTATTTTATTGAATCTAGCTCTTAAATTATATAATAAGAAAATAGAAAAAGTTAAGTAGATGAAATTTATTTCATTTTGTAAAAGTTTAGTTGATGAAAGTTATTTCATTTGATAAAAATTAAGTTGATGAAAATCATTTCATTTTGTAAAAGTTCAATTCATAAAATTTAAGTTGATGAAAATTATTTCATTTTTTAAATAGTCATTTCATAAAAGTTATTTCATTTTAAAAAAGTCAGCTGATGAAAATTATTTCTTTGGATAAAAGTTAAGTTGACGAAAACTATTTGTTTTTATGAAAAGTAAGTTTATAAAAATTATATCATTGTATAAAAGTTCAATTGATGAAAATTATTTCATTTTGTAAAAAGTAAATTGATAAAAGTTATATCATTTGAAAAAAGGTCAGCTGGCGAAAATTATTTCTTTTTATAAGTTTCATTGGCTGTAAGTTTTATTAACTGATCACATGGCTTACTACAAAATAAAATATTTAAGAATCTGCTGTTGATATTCTGTGAACATAGAAGTAAATCTTTTCTTATAGAATGATTGGATTGAAAGTCTTAAAACCAAATTTAAGAGAGAACGTCGTCCGCTTCAACAAATATCTGTACAAGTACAGAAGATGAAAGCAAAGTATGGAAATAGTGCTGGTCGTCCAATCAAACGAAGTGAGAATGTCATTGCACCTCGTCGAATAGTAAGTACTCAAAAAATGTTATTTAAAAAGAAATCGTGGAATAAAATTATTTTTTATTTTTTTAACTTTAGTCTCCGGTTCAATTTTGGAATACAATAAATATTCACGATGATCCAGAAGATTTAAATAAAAACATCCAGGTTATGAAGAACGAATTGGTAGATCGGAATGTTGATTCGGATTTGGTTAGAAGTTCATGGAAAAAAACATTAGTTCAAAGAAGAAATTTCATTAGAGATCATACGACAAAAGAAGTTCTTGAAGAATACCCAGGTTATTGTTATGCTTCATTGGTATGCTCATCATTATCTTTTCTCACTTTCTATAATTTTTTTATTAATTTTTTTTAAAGATTTTCGACGAGATTCGATATGTGTGTAATGTTGATATTGAAGAAAATTTCAAATTAATGTTGCCTAAATTACTTGATAGCATTCCAGATAATTCGGGTTTTGTGAACGGTGAGTGAATACGTTGACTGTTTATCTATTTAATACCATTCATTCATTCTTTAGATCTTCCAGCTGTACGTTTAATTAAACTTTTATCTAAGTATTTTACTGATTCATGGCAACAAATCGTATCGAATAAAGTACGTAATAAATCTCTTTGAAAACTAAAATCATCACATAATCAACTGGCTAATTATGTCTATTGATTGTTTTTTTTATAAACAGAAAAGGCCACATTTTTTTCTTTATCGTTAAGGAACCATTATCGCCACGACCAGCTATACAAATAACAACAGATCAGTTTATTATTTTTCTCGATTATGAAGTTATTAGTGAAACATCATCAATTGATCAAGCTATATGTATAGTTATTTCATTATATGTTATATTTGAATTACAATTTGGTATACACAATCGAATTATTCAATTGTTATATGGTATTCTATTAAAACAATCTGGAGCATTAACTAAACCACTACGCATTTTACTGAATCAATGGAGTTTTATTATTGATAAAAAAGATGATAAAGAAGGTGGTGATATGGTGACAACGAACTCGACAAATTTCAAAACTATTACAGCTACAGTTGAAAGTGTGACACAAGTCGAAGATAATCAAACTGATGATTTACCAGATAGTGAAGAACAAGAAGAAATATATGTCGAAAATACAACAGGTTTGCTTTCATTGTACAAGAAATAAAATGAATTATTTATATTGTATATATTAGATAATAGTCAAGATCAAACAACAGCTACAAATATTGGTGATAAGGATCTGATCAATGAGTATTCATCAGAATCATCGGATTCTTCTTCTTCATCATCACCAATTGATCCTCCACTTGTTATTCGCATTTCACCAACAAAAGAACAACAAAGACAAATAGCATCTTCATCATCTTCGAGCGATAATACATTATGTGAAGTGAATATCAAACAGCAAGTATCAGCAACATCAACTGATCGATCTTCAACTATTTCAAATAAAAAAACTTCTCAAGCAAAAAAACGTCCTGCTAGTTCCGAAGAACCAATAGCATTAC